AATTTATAATAAATTATGATTTATTCTAAATTTAATAAATTTATTCTGATTTTTTATATTAAATTTAGAATATGATTTATTATAAAATTTAATAAACATTTTCTGATTTTAATAAATATTTTAAAAATACTAACTAGTTAATATTTTATTACTTGAAAAATATTTTATGTTATATATTATAAAGTAATTAATTTATTCTTTGTTTTTATTTTTTGTTAATTCTTTTTTCTAAATATTTTATTTGAAATATTAAATAGAAATTATTAATGGAATAATTTATATTAATATACTATATTATATGAATATAATATACTAGTATATTATATTATTAATGTACATTAGTTGACATCCTGTCGACAAAATAGAAAAAACTGTTTTTTTTGGTTATTTGGACCGATTTGGTCGACATTTCCGAAATATAGGAAATGTCGACCGAAATAATGTAAATTTTTATATTACCATCCATTTTCATGTCGGTAAGTCGGATGACATTAGCGAAATGTCACGACATTTGGTTTCAGCAATTAAAACTAGATCACCGGTGTTGTATCCATTATTGAATTATTGGTGCTTAAATCATTCTCTTATTACTTCCATCCAAGTCCTTTTCGGTCTGCCCTTCGCTCTTATAGCCCCTTCAGCTTGTAACAAATCACTTTTTCTAATAGGTGCTGTAGATGGTCTTCTATTCACATGAAAAAAATCATCTCAATCTCCTTTCTCTCATTTTATCACATAATGGAGCTACTCCTAGGTTCCTTTGTATGACTTCATTTTAAATCTCCTTTCTAACCTTGAATAGAAGGAATGGCAAAACAGGATTCATGTTACCAACCCCATATAATTGGGACAAGGCTTAGATGATGATGATCAGAAATAACATGTACCATGCGACCTTCTGAATATGTTTAGTCAATTCATACATGACTAGTGCAAATAAATAAGGGTTAAGTATTGAGTCTTGGTGAAGCCCCATCATAATTGAAAACTTATGCATCTCCTATAGGTGTTTAACATTGGTTGCTGCACCCTCATACATGCTCTTAATGGAGCCCATATTAATTGTTTGGCACTCATTTCTTTCCAAAACTCACCATATTATCTTTCTAGTAACTTTTATTATACTTGTCCATATGCATGCTCTAAATAATAAAAATCGAGATCATCATCATCCATGCCTTATCCCAACTATATGCGGTTGACTACATGAATCCTTTTCTTTTGTTCAGCAAATAAGACTTTTAATTCATTGACATTAATTAAGGTACTAGATTTTAAGTTTCTGGACTGTAGTGTCCCAAAATACAAACAATTACAGTTTGGCCCAGAATAAAGTATGTTTATTTGGTCCCTGTTTAGCTAAGACATCCGCCAAACCATTTGCTGTCCTTTTTATCTAACCAAACTGAGAGTTAAACCTCCTTGCAAGTAGGTCAATTTCTCTGAAGATAAATTTGAGTTTCCAAGGTGCTGAACTGGTTTGCTTTGCCCAAGATATGACCAGTAGTGAATCTCCTTCAATTTCTAAATCTGTTGCTCCAATCTGCTCAGCCAGTTTCAAGCCTTGTAAGAGAGCCAGAGTTTCATGAATCCTGTTTCGCCAATCCGTTCTATTTAAAGCCATATCCACTGTTAAATTATTAGTGCTTAAATCATTTCTTACTACTACCCATGTCCTTTTTGGTCTACCCTTAGCCGTTAACAAATCACTTCTTCTAAGTGGTACCGTTGATGGTTTTCTATGCTAAATAATAAAAATTGAGATGGTTTCCCAAAATTATGTTGTAAATGATAAAAGATCAATCACTTATTTGTGTGAGGGGATCATTAAAGGAAATTGAACCTAGTCAAAAGAGCCTATATGATTGTAACTGAGATGAGATTTTTGAGATGGGCAAAAATTAAAATGAATATTACTGATAAAAATAAAATAAAAATGAGAGCTTCCAAGGGAACTTAAGAGTAGCCCTAAGATGCAATGAGATTGATGAAAAGAAACTCCACAGAAATGGTCTAGTCATTTTCAATGAACAAACCTCAATGTTTGTATCCTTTCCTACCCTCTTTTACTTTCAACACTGAACATAGTGCTTTGTAATGATTAAATAAAATAAATGAAGACCAATGAGGACACAAGATAGAATAAAATTAAAGAACATGAATATATCCTTATCTCTGTTTATATGTTTCTTGTTTGGTCAGTAACAGATAGCTTTTATTAGAAACATATGCATAAATTATTAAGAATATGACCATCTAATCCCCAGGAAACAATGGGTGAGCAAAAGAGAAACAACAAAAGCTACCAATAAACACAAGAGCAAATACACATAAGAGAATGACTTCTGTGCTCAAGGTCTAGTCTCACCACACAAACTCTCTCTGCCTTGCTTTCGTCTTAGCCATATTGTTTGCAAGAGAGTTAGCAGACCATGGGATCCATCTGAATGAGCTATTCATTTTGGGTGCAAAAATTGTTGCTGCCTTGGTATGATGATGCAAATAACAGGGCCCTCTGAGAAGTTACACATACAGCTTATAACTACATGGTAGCTCCAATAGAGAAGCAAGATCTTTGTTAGCTAACTATAACTGCCTGTTCTGGTATACTCCAAGGAATGCAAATAGATAGCATGGCTGATTCTCTACCTGGGAAAGAGGTTACAGAGGGATAATTTGGTTAGGGGGAAGCAGGCCCAAGGGGTAATTTGTAAGACTCCGATACTCTTCATAATGCTTACATAATCGTCCCAATGTTATCGTAATTGTCTCTTCCATTTCAACCATTTTGGAATTCTTGTAGTTCTCTAAATTTTATAAATTAATATCATTGTGGTTTACTGTTCCTGTTAGAAAAAGCCTCGGCTCCAATAGAACCCACTAACCTAGTGTGTGGATGTTGCATTTTTATCTCTCAGACAAAATTTATTTCTTTTAATGCTGAAGAATATGTAACAGTCAAGCTTATTGTTTTTATATAATGCTCTTCAACATATTTTTAATCATTTTTCTTCCAAAATATAAGCCATGGTGTGGGATGTAGTTGACGCATAAGAATTAATGAAGCTGTTTGGTTTGAAACAATATTCTTATTGTTGTAATGCACAAATGATAGGGTGATCAAAGGTCCCCTGGAATCATACCCTTGGCTGTGAAGGATGCTTTTAGTATCATTCAAGAGGTATCATAAATTGGTTACTTCTTATTGTTCTATATTTTTGCTGCAATTGTACACTTTATTATTCCTCAATAAAAATATATGTTTTATTTATTAAATGTGCTAGTTAATTTGATGCTCATCTTTGTCCTAGACTCCAAATCGGGAATTTCTTCTTCGAGTGTCATATGTGGAAATCTACAATGAGGTCAGTTTCTTTAGTTTTAATCAAACTATTTGCTTCATTTTGTGATTTATATGGTCATGAATAAATAATTTAATGGTTTTGTCTTTGAAGTTTCTTAAGTTGAAGCTCTCAGTCTAATGTAATACTTGTATTATGTATTTTCTCCTTTTGCTATTTAATTTAGGATTTTTTTGTTTTTACTTTTTTTTTTTTTTAAATTTTGAGCTATGGGGATTTCTATGATGACTCGTTTCAAGTTAAGCATCTTGAACAAGAGAGAGTTCAAGTGGAGTTGAAGATTTGGGTGTATGTTTCAGTCTGAGAATCCTGGGAATTGGTTCTTGAGTTTGAGAGCCGAGATTGTTCGTGCGAATCTTAAGGAGGGTGATCAATGCGGCAGCCACGATGATAATTTTGATATAAGGAAACAATGCGGTGGAAGGAAGGAGTAAGACAAGGTTTGGCCAACAAGCAGGTAAAGTTTATTTCTTTTGGTGATTTCGTAGTTGAGCTCTCTTCCATTTTGTCACAACCATGGAATTTGGAGGTGGAGCACCAAGGGGCTGTTTGTTCAGAAGGTCAGAAGGAGGGAAGGGAGGTGGGCTGTAGGGAAGTGGTTAGTAAGGTGGGAAGCGGAGGGCAAGGAAGGAATGTTAGGTAGGGCTGGCTTGGAGGGGGATGATGACAAGAGACCGAATGCTTTTGGTTGTGTTGAGGATGCGAAACAGCGAAAGAGCTTTTGAACAAGGATGAAAAAACTGACTCATCAATAGAGTGCGAGAATTTCCAAAAGTTTGAAGTTTCAATTGGTAGGATTGAAGTTCATCCAGGTCAGAGAAGAAGTGTGAACAAGGAAGGAGATGTTGAACCTCTAGAAGGGGTGAAGAAAGCCAAAGAGACAAGAAAGTTTCATTTTGTCCATTTGTCAAAGGTTTTCTCGAGCCTAAAAGACAGATTGATTGGGGTAGGTCCTTCCAATAAATATAAGAGTCTACAAGAGGAAGAGATTAAAAGTTCTAGAATCGAGAAGAAGGGTGATGAAAGGAGGGGCAAGGAGCTTCAAGCTGTGTAGTAGGGGAGATAACGTCGACCTCGACAAAGGAAGGTCTGGAGGTTAGGCCAAGGTTAGGGGATAAGGAGGAGGAAGGTCAAGCTGGTGAGAGTAGTCTCACTTTGTCTCAACAAGCTGGAAAGGAGGGGGATAGTGGAGATTAAGGACCTGGTTGACAAGGAGGTTAGAATTGGCAAGAGTTTAGGGCTTTTTTTTTGGGGAGGTGAGGAGTTCAATAGAAGAACTATCGAAGTATTTGAAAAGAGAATGAAGAACTTGTTACGGAAAGGAGAAAATGCTTGGGATGAGGATGCTGATGGGTATGACGAGATGTTTGAAGCTGAAGGCTAGCTACTTTTTGAAGTGTGTGTGTGTGGGGGGGGGGGTTCTTTGTTTTTTCTTTTTGTTAGTTTTGTGTCTTTGTAATCCTTCTATTATGAGTTGGATAAGGTGTTATCTTAACACCCCTTTTTGGGTTGTAATCATTTTTTTTATCAATAAAATTTTATTTTTACTTTTCAAAAAAGAGCCATGGGGATAATTTGCTCACTGTACATTTTTATGTGGGCTTCAGCCATTGTAAGTTGTTACTTTGCTGTGTAGTGGGTCATTGTGATGTCGTTAGTGTTAGGTTAACGTTTTTATGTAATAGGGACCATAGGGTGAACAGACTATATCTACATTATATTTTCATAATTTAGTGTGCAGTTGCAATTTTGTAATTATGTGAACAATAGTTCGGATCCCCTAGTTACCTCTCTCAAAGGAGATTGGAATTACAATTCATTTTCTCCCTGTTGGAGCTTATGTTGGTGCTTTTCCGCAAACTAACTCTCTTCTAGTATTTCTATCTCTTTTACTATTCTCTTTTTTTTGTAGGATAGATCTACATGTGGATTAGAGTTTAGAGCTATAATCTATATTAGAAGACACCAAGTCCATTGGTTCAACCTATCTTTAACATCCAAAAATTCAAAATTTCTTCAGTTTCTACAAAACCCTAGACTAGAAACTCTTTTCTAGAAATTGTCTAATCTAGAAACCCTAGAAAGCCTCATTTAAACCTCTCTCTGTATCTACACAAACTATCCCTACATCTCACCCATCTACACATTCTTCTCAACCACTTTTTTTAACAACAACTTTTAATTGCTTCAAATCCTACTAGTGAAAGTGAAATTGCAAGAAAGAAAACTAATTTGGTTCATTGTAAACCCAAGATTACCATGGAGTATTTTATTATTTTTATTTTTAATTATTTCATACCTGTTCTATCCTGAAGTTCACACCCAAACCAGCAATCTTCAATTGAAAATCCAGCCAAGAATGTTGATCCAATTGGCCAAATTGAGTTCTCTAATGGAGGTCACAATGCTCCTTTTTTCTATGGCTTTTTAACACTCTGTCCTAGATCAATTAGGCACTACAAAGCATTGGTTTGATTTATCCTTTAGGGATGGTCATACCATGCATCTCAAAATATCTCATATATTATGCGAAGAAAGTTTCTAAGAGGGGTTTGAGATCTTATTAGGGTTTTCCGGAAGATACCATATCTCTTTACTCTTGGATTAGAATCTTCCATCTACTCTCTAATCTATGGTTAGGATTAGAAAGACTTCCTAAAACTGCAAAGAGATTACACATTAAGTCCTACAAATTATCGCATTGGCCTCTACATGCAAAGTAAAATTACAATTCAATCCTTCTACCACATTGGGTCCAATCAGGTCCCACGAAGTTAGAGTTTATGGTTTCTCACTTGTCTTTGATCAAAGACAATGATTTCCATGTACTAGTAGGGATGCCAATGGGTTGAGTTAGACGGTAAATTCAACTTGACCCAACCCTATAGGGCTGGGTTAGGGTTAGGTTTATTTAGATGTAGGGTTGGATCAATGTTTTAAAATGCAGAGGCGTGACGCGAGGCGTTTCACTACCTAGAGGCATGAGGTGTAAGCCTCTTGAACACAAAGAGGAATAAGCCTCCTTAAGAGGAGGGGGGTTAGGATGAGGATGAAGAGGAAGGGGGGATCTCATTTTTTCTTTATTTTTAATAATAATCTTTTATATTGAGAAGAACAAAGATGCATAACATTAGTTGAAAGGGGGGGTCTAGGGGGCAAAGCCCCCCAGCTGAAGGGGGTGGGGGTTCGCCCCCCAATCGAAGGGGCAGGGGGCAAAGTGGCAAACCACCTTCTTTCCCCTTATATTTTCTTCCCTTCCCTTCCCTTTTCTCTTTTTTTCTTCTCTTTCTTTTTCTTTCCATTCCCTTTCTTTTCCTTTCCTTTCCTTTCCTTTCCTTTTTTTTTTTCTTTTTTCTTTTTTTTTTTCTGTCTTTTTATATAAGATGTGCATGAGGCGTACGCCTTTAGCACGCCTCATGAAAAAAGTGCAAGAGGCGCCTGAGGCGTACGCCTCAGAGGTGTTAGCGCCTCTGGCATACGCCTCAGGGTGTTTTGGGAGCGCCTTGCCTAGAGGTGCGCCTCTAAGCATATGTCTCCCACGCCTTTTAAATCACTGGGTTGGATTAGGGTTTTGATTCTTTAACCTGAGTTAGGTTCAAGTTTTAGTTGACCCACCTTGCTAGGTCATGATACTCTTACATATTTATAGGGTATTCTTGTAATTTGTTGATTTATAATTCCATAGCCTTAAAACTTAGGATTTCTTTTCATATTTATTTTGGATTTTCTTCTTTCACTAATGAAGAAAGTGACACCTTAGAACCTATATACCAAATTCCAATTTAAATTTAATGGCTTTTCAGGTTTTCAAAATTTGTTATAAAAAATACAATTGAAAGGATGCATGTCGGTTTTGGGTTTGAACCCTATACGGTCAAGGCAATATATCATGAGAAGCAGGGTTCTTAGGGGGGGGTGTGAGATCCTATTAGGGTTTCCATCCTTAAGAATTAAGGTTTTCTAGGAGACACCATATCTCTCTACTTTTGGATTGGAATCTTCCATGCACTCTCTCTAATATATGGTTGGGATTAGGGCTTCCTAAAGCTGTAAAGATGTTCAACTACACATTTGCAATCAAGTCCTTAAGTCTTGAAAATTATTACATTGGCCCCTACGTGCAAACTAAAATTACAATTCAGTCCTTCTGTACAACAATGTTCAAATTTAGTTTTCAAACCACATAAAAAGTCATTATCTCGACCAACCACCATAGTTTTGGTTTTGACCAAGAGTTTTGCTCTCATTAAGAAACCTCCTGAAATTCAGTTTCTTGCTTTGAAACTTTTTCAAAACAATTGATAGCATTTAATTCTCTGACACAAACGATTTGCTTCAAAGAAAGAGGCCCAATTGCTGTTTATCTCCCAAAAGGTGTATTCTTTGCAAAGTTGATGGGGAAACAGGTTACCACATTATGGTTACTTGTCCAGTTACTAAGACTGTTTGGGAATGGGTGTTTTCCCTTTTTGGGTATATTTGGAATCCCCCCGTGAGTGTGCAACGCTTGTTCTCTCCCTCATTCTTTAGATGGCCTAAGAAAAGGGGGAAGGTTATGTGGAGAAGCATTAGGGCTGCCGCGTGCTTGTCAATATGGGAAGAAAGAAATTCACGAATTTTTTCAGATAAGGAAAGAACCACAGAAAACCTAATAGACTTGATACATTCAAGGGTAGTTCACTGGCTGAAATTAATGGAGATATTCTCTGAATTTTCTATGGCAGACTTGTTGAGAAAGTGGAAAGAGGTAGCTACTGCTGCTCTTTGTAAAAGGACCTGTAGACCCTCTTGGACCCCCCCTCCTGCCGGATTCATAAAACTGAACTTTGATGGATGTAGCTTAAGGAATCCGGGGCATTCTGGGATAGGGGGTGTTTTCAGGAATGAGGAGGGGTATATTATTGCCATGTTATCTGGGCCAATTGGAGAGGGTGACTCTCTTAGGGCCAAAATTCTAGCAGTTCTTGAAGGAATCCAAAGAGCAAGAGAATTAAGCATCAGAT